AAATAAATGAAGCTAAATTATTGTCGAATATCGACCATTGCCAGGAAACGATTGTTGAATTATTCGGTCGTTCGATCTCTGCAGGCGGTACAACCTCGGACTACTACAAACTACTATAAAATGTGATCCGAAGTTATCGCGTTAGCTTGTGTCGAAAATTTGAGTTGAAATTTCAGAGATTAAATCATTACAAAAATGGTGTGTAGATAATATTCAGCCGGTTGTTTGGATCTTTGGCAATTAAATCATGCGTGCATTTCACTGTAGTCGGGTTTACAAAACTAAAATAATTGAAGATAAATTATTGTCGAATATCCACCATTGCTAGGAAACGAGTAATATATTATTCGGGGCGTTCGGGAGGCGTTAGATCTGGAGGCGTTAGATCTGAGATCCTGGGGGCGTTAGATCTCTACAGATGGTAACAGAAAAAAACTCTAACTACCCAGTACTACAAACTACTATTCAGAGGTCAGTAAGCAGTGTTGAAGATTTGGGTTGAGATAATGACAGAGATTTTAATCTTTCAGTTTAAAACTCATTTAGTACAAAAATGGTGTGTAGATACAAAAAACAACTGTAATGGCGAGCCGGTTCTCTTTCGGGATATAAATTCATGCCTGCAGGCTTCAGTATAAATTGTCATATTTAAATACGGACCTCCACCGATTAGCCTTAGTTTTTTCGTTGAAAGTCAACCATTATCTCCAATGTACATGGAAATATTATTTTTATTTGGATCAATTCGGTTTTTGTCATTTTTTACGGGGCGGTTTTCAAGGTGACCTGGAAGCTAGCTTATGAATGAATTAAATGTCGGACGCTTGCTAAAACGCGGTTTTTTATTCCAACAAGTTCCATCATTCTTCGGTATTTTAAAGTTTTAACAATTATATTCTGTTGAAGGACGTTCGCGTTAATTGTTTCTACGCATCCTTACTGCGCACGCAAATTCACACACCACGTCATACATGAGAGCGCGCGCTAAGGCCCAGTTCAGACGCCGAACTTTTCATGAGCCGAACCTAATACGTTGAATTAAGTACATGAAAAG